GGGGCACAAGCCTCACATTTACTCTCTGTGGTCAAATGGTGAAGTCCAGGAGCCCTGACCTACCCCATGTAAATGTTTGCCCTGGGGAGCCCAGGAGGGGCTGCAGAGCCTCAGACTCACACACATCTGGATAGAAACAGGTGTTTACAGAGTCATTCTTGGTGACTCTGAGATGCATGGGTAGATCTGCTGGTGGGGCAGCTCTAGTTCAGCCTGCGGGCAGCACTGTGCAGTCACAGAATGGCAAAAACATCAGCTGAGGCTTGGGCAGCTTTCCTGTGCCTCTGGTCCCACATCCTGCTCAGTCAGGGTCACCCAGAGCTGAGGTCTCAGGAACATGTCCTGGAATATCTCCAAGGATGGAGAGCACCACTTCCATCCATAGGCAACCTGGACCAGGTTCGCCTTTGCAGGGAAGAAGTTTCTGACATGCAGAAAAACCCTCCTGCATTCTGCTTTGTGCCTATGATGTCTAGTCCTTCCACTGGGCACCACTGGGAAGAGTCAGGTTCTGTCTCTCTGCACTTCCCATTGGGTATATATATGTGGATGAGATCCCTCTGAGCTTTTTCTGCTCTGAGATAGACAGTCCCAGTTCTGCCAGTCTTCCCTGATATGAAAGATGCTGCAATCCCTTCTTCCTCCTTGTGGCTCTTCACTCTATTCCTTATGTCCATGTCCTGTGTTAAGGAGCCCAGCACTGGCCATGGGATTTCAGCGGTGCCTAGAAGCCAACAATGTACAAACGAAGAGGTGGGGTGGTGTCATCCAGGTGTTTTTACAAACCTTTGTTATGTGTGGTCACCTAAGCCCAGCCCCTGCCACCCACTTCATCCTCCAGAAAGGTGTCAGAGCTGCAGGTCCAGGACTTCAAGTGACTTGGATGACAATCCCTGGAGCTGGTTGGCCAGCCAGAGGCAGAGTTTCCTTCATGGTGCCCTGGGACAGTAGCAGGACACAGGGACTCCAGAGCTGAAAGTGATGACTCTCTAAGCCCCCACTTTGGTTTTAGCCACCAGCTGACCATATAGATCCCCCCAGAGTGCTCTGCACTGTAGATGTAAGCACTGATGGCATGTTGGATCTCCTGCTAACACTGACCTCGTGCCCCATGTCCTGCAGATTGCTGAGACCAGCCAGCCTGGGCTGTTCCGGCTGTGGGCGGTGATAGGGAGTGACCTGCACTGCATTAAGCTGAGCATCCCCCGTGTCTTCTACGTCAATCAGCGCGTCCCAAAGCCTGAGGAGGGAACAGCCTACAGGAAGGTGAGGACCTATCCCTTCTGGAAGGGGAAACAGCTGCTTGCACTGAGGTAAGGCACTTCACCTCCCCTGTAAGCAGGAGTTACAAGCGTCTGCCACGCAACACCTCCTACCCCATGGATATCCTTCATCCAGGCCCTAGTCCCTCTGCTAATCCCAGTCTGCCTGGAAATCAAGTTCTCTGTTAAAGGAATTGTAATGTGCATGAGCATAACCCACTGATTTCCTTAGGAGAGGGCACCAGGGGCTGGCCTGGCTCAGAGTCTGGCTCCTGGCAGTGGTGCCATGTGGTGGGATGTGTCCCAGTTATCTTGTCCCTTACCTTGGCAGGTAAACAGAATCCTGCCCCGCTCCAACTTAGTTTACAACCTGTACGAATACTCTGTTCCTGAAGACATGTACCAAGAGCACATCAACGAAATCAATGCAGACCTCTCTGCTCCGGACATCGAGGGAGTGTATGAGACACAGGTAACTCCTTCAGGTGCTCGTCTTTAAGGGTTGCTGAGCAGTAGCTTGTTAGTCTGAGTTCCAGTGGTGAGACATCAAAAATCCAAGACCCTGGACATTGTCCAGGAAAGTGGGAATTATGTTCATATGGACAGAAGTCCTGGGCATCAGCACATGGGTTACAGTATGTTGAGAAAGGGACTTCAGTTTATTTGGAGTTAGGAAACTTTGGGGAAAGAAATTAGGAGCTTCCTCTAAACTAATCCTGACCTAGCCTGCTGGTATTGTAACCAGGAAAGAGAAAGGGCATTTGGAGTAAAGTGGGGGAAAAACCCAACATATGTGGAGTGATACATAGGTCGGAGTGCCACGTCCTCTAAAACAAGGTTGTAAAAGCTTTAGATATAAGAACAGCATATAACTTGAAAGTTTGGGAAGAGCAAGAACAACCTAAATGAAATTCTGTATAAAGCAATGAGGCTAAAATTCAATTTGCCAATGCTGAGAATGAAGGTGGAAACCTGGGATGCTTGCTTCCAGTGAGGATGCTGGTTTGTCCAGCAGATCAAAACTTGATGACAGGAATTTAATGAAGAAGATATTGTAGTGAAAAGACCTGACCTGTATGGAAGTGGCAGAATAGACCACACCATTGTAAGAGTGGAGTTAAAGAAAACATGAATGCTGGTGAATTTGATACTGAAATGCACCGTAGGATTGTTATGGATTAAAAGTCCTGAGTAGGACAAGCTTTGCTGTGAGCAGAGGTGCCACTGGCCATGAAATGCTTTCTGAGGTGCAGGAGGCTGCAAGGGCAAAAAGATCATCACAGAGTTGGGAGACTTGCTACTCGAGTTACTTGTGTAACTTATGAAGAATTCCAGTGGGACATAGTTGAAGAAAACTTTTTTAATCACCTCAAGTTTCTACTTTTGAAAAATTTGAAGAAAAGTCTCTCAAGGCAAGGCACAACACTTAATGATTACGTGGAGGCTGTGAAATCTTATGGTGATGTAAAAGGTTGAACCATATATGCCATCATCAATTGAAAATGGGTCCTCGCCAAACCCTACTGAGGTTAGGTAAGCAGCAGCCAAAACGTGCTTCAGATTACTTGTCTGAAGTGACTGGCTTGTACTCAGATTCTTTATATCTATAGACCTTCCTCTAGAAAAACCTGAGTCTTCTCTACTCTAGTAGAGCTTATAAGTGGGAAGAGAAAAAACCAAGAAGTTTAGAGAAAATTAAATGAGCAGCTGAAGTAAAACGAAGGACATGGAGAAGTTTTAAAGATATGAAGGGATTTAGATAGTCATGGGGTACCAGCATCTGTCATCTGAGGGGAGGTTGAGTGAGTTGGACTGTGCAGCCCAGAAGAGGCTCAGGGGACCTGCTTGATGGGAAGAGTGGAGAAGAGGCTCTGCTCTGGCACCCAGGAAAGAATGGGCAACAGTGGACACAACCTAAAACATGTAAATTCAGTGTAAATGTCAGAAAAAACTTCTGCAAATATCGTTGAGCAGGTTGCCCAAGGGGTTGTGGAGTTTCTGTCCTCAGAGACATAGTTAACCCAGCTGGACACTAGCCTGGGCAAGGAAAGCTCTGTCTTGATCTTTAAACATCTGCAGTGCAGTTCTGATTATTATCCCAAAAAACCCAGCAGGACTAACAGAGGGATGCAAGGGAGGGAACAGTTTGCCCTCAGGGATGGAACTTACATGGGACTGCTTCATCTTGCTGAAGAGATGTGAGGGGCCTCCACAACTAAAACTAGCACAAGGGAAGAGCAATTAGGCAACAAATGTTTGTTACTTCTCACTAGTTTGGGACCAGATTCCTCAGCAAGCCATTCAAGAGTCTCCAACAGCAGTGGACTTGACAGCTACGGGGTTAATAAAACAGGATGGCTCTGTGGTGAATCTCCCACCATGCTCCATTATCTGGAGGTTCAAATGGAGCCCCTGCCTCAGAGTGAGAGACCACAAGTTGCAGAGCAGCAAGATTGCCCAAATATTGCTCCACACGTCCTCCAAAGTACCTTGATGGTAGGGTCTGGGCGTATATAGGTAGATGTGGATTTCGAGATACCTGTTCTATAGCTTTAGCAAGGCTGATAGTACCAAACTCATGCGAAGGCACCTCAGATATGTGCTACCTGTGGCTTTTAATCTGGGTTGTTCTAGGTCTGCAACCCCCAAGAAGAGCTTAGTAGTCAGTTGTTCCATCACATCTCTCCCCATCATTCCAGGTGCCACTGCTGTTCCGTGCCGTGATCCACCTGGGCTGTGTGTGCATGGTCAGCAGGCAGCTCGTCCGGCACCTGGCAGGGCGAGAGGCTGAAACCTTCAACATTGAGCACCTGGAGATGCGCTCACTGGCTCAGTTCACTTACCTGGAGCCAGGTGAGGCATCCTGGAGAGGGGCTCCTGGGGCACCTGGCACCCATGGGCACCGCTGATGCTCTGTGCTCTGTGTCCCCAGGAAGCATTCGCCACATCTACCTGTACCACAGTGCCCAGGGCAGCAAGGCAGTCCTGGGCCTCTTCATCCCCTCCCAGCGCAAGGCTGCTGTCTTTGTGCTGGACAAGGTAAGGAAGGCTGTGGAGAATGGAAAATTGGGGGTGCTGATGGCTGGACATGCCCTGACCATATGCCCTGATAGCCCCGAAAGCCCCCATGTCCTGAACTGATCCCCACAGCAGGGAAGGGAGAGATTCTGCCCCTCTGCCTTGCTCAGGTGAGACCCCACATGCTCAGCTGCTGAAGCAAGTTCAGAGGAGGCCACAGAGATGCTCTGATGAAGGCTGGAGCACTTCTGCTTTGTAGACAGGCTGGGAGAGCTGGAGGTGTTGAACCAGGAGAAGAGAAGGCTCCAGGGAGACTTTAGAGCCCCCTCCAGTGCCTTAAGAGAGCTGGAAAGGAACTTTGGACAAGGGATGGAGTGACAGAACAAGGGGGAATGGCTTCCCACTACCAGAGTGCAAGGTTAGGTAGAATATTGGGAGGAAATTGTTCCCTGTAAGTGTTCTAGGCCAGGTTGGATGGGGCCTGGAGCAACCTGGTCTAGTTGACCTCAGGTTGCACTAGGGGAGGTTTAGGATGAATATTAGGAAAAACTTCACCAAAAGAGTTGTCAAGCCCTGGCACAGCTGCCCAGGACAGTGGTGGAGTCACCATTCCTGGAGGGATTTAAAAGATGTGAGGATGTGGCACTTGGAGACATGGTTTAGTGGTGGCCTTTGGCAGTGTTGGGTGAACAGCTGGGCTTGATCATAAAGGTATTTTCCAACCTAAACAATTCTGAGATTATGTATTATCTGTGGCAGGGGGTTGGACTAAGACAACATTTAAAGGTCCCTTCCACCCCAAACCTGATAGGGCCAGACAGCAGGAGGTTTCTTCGTACATCACACATCCCTGCCAAGTTTTAGCAGGGCCCCTGCCACTGCACGTCCCAGAGTTGCTCTCCTCCTGCTCTGATCTGGTCCCTCCTCCACCCAGGTACGCAGCAACCAGATGCCAAACCTCACCACCCTGTTCTCAGTGGAGCGCGCGGCTCTGCTGGAAAAGGTGGGCAAGGAGCTCTTGCCCCCAGACAAACACACCTTCGAGGTGCGCGCTGAGACCGACCCCAAGGCCATCTACAGAGGCGTCCAGCGGCTGCTCTTGGGCTACAAGGTGAGATGAAGGTGTGGGGAAGGTTTCAGTGGGACCGTTTGGACTAAGGGAAGGATGCTGTGGAAGGCACTGGTATAGCAGTTCCAAGAACACCTGCTTGTAACTGCTGGACCCACGGTCATGAAGTGGCTGCTTGTTTTGCTTGTGTGGGGCTTATCTGGAGCAGTATCAGCAGCAAGGCCACCTCACGATCTCGCTCCATCCCTGCACTCAGCTGGAGAGCTGGTGTTGTTGTGGGTGCATGCTTCAGGAATGTTGGGGTGTGCTGTCCCAGAACCGTGGGGACCTGCTCTGGGGATGGAGCACCTGACACTTCCTGTTGAGCAGGTGAGAGGTGCACCAGGATATGTCTCTTTCTTCTTGCTGCAGGATGAGCGCCGGGGCCCCACATTGGTGGCTGTGCAGTCCAACTGGGACCTGAAGCAGCTGGCAAGCGGGATCCCCATCATGGAGGAGTTCCCCTTGGTCCCCATCCGGCTGGTAGACGACATCAGCTACTCCGTCCTGGACTGGCAGCGCCATGCCGCCCGCCGCATGATTCGCCACTACCTCAACCTGGACACCTGCCTCTCCCAGGCTTTTGAGATGAGCAGGTACCCAAGGTGGCCATGTTCCCCTGAGGCTGCCATGCCCTCAGTGGGACCACAGGAGTTGTCTCACCCCTTGAGGGGACGGTCAGGGTCCCTGTTTTCCCTGCAGCCATGCTCATGCCAATGACCACTGATGTCTCTGTGCTTCAGGTACTACCACATCCCCATTGGAAACCTCCCTGATGACATCTCCACCTTCGGCTCTGACCTGTTCTTCTCACGCCACCTTCGTCGTCACAACCACCTGCTGTGGCTGTCCCCCACGGCCCGCCCCGACCTGGGGGGGAAGGAGGCCGATGACAACCGCCTGGTCATGGAGTTTGATGAGAGAGCCTCAGTCGAGATCAACAATCCTGGCTGCTACTCCACAGGTGAAGAGGGAGGAAGGTGGGAGCACTGAATGGGGCAGAGCTGGATCCTGCTCTGTGAGTCCTGCAGAGGTGTGGATGCAGTCCCCAAAGAGTCTCTATGGTGACAGTTGTAACCAGCAGCTTTTGGGTTTCAGCATCTGTATGGGTAAGGAGGATGCTATGGGCATGCCCTGGAGCAGGGAAGGCTCACCTGAAACATGTGCAGGCATCAAAATGGGGATTCTTTACCAATGACCACTGACAGCAGCACTTGGCAGACCACCTGCAATGTTGTCAGCCCAAGGACAGCTCACTCGGTCATCACTGGTGATGCTGGGACAGACCTCTCTTAGGCAGCTTGAGTTCTTCTAAGGTCCACTGTTGCAGCCTCCAGGAAAACTGGTGGTCCCCAGAGGGTCAGTAGGTCTGAGTCTTGTTGAAAGACAAGGCTCAATCAACACCTATGAAGGTCCAGTCATGCCTGTGAAAGCATCTGCCCTCTGAGTGCAGTAGCACCTCTAGATCACCCTGTACCTGTGAAAAGCACTTCTGGCAGCAGCAGGAGGGTGTTCCTGGTCCTTTCCCTGCCTCCCTGCTGACAGCTGTGTCTGCCTCTTAGTGTGTCTGGAGCTGGACATCCAGAGCCTGGCTGTGAACACCGTGTTGCAGTCCCACCACGTGAATGACATGGAAGGAGGCTCCAGCATGAGCATTAGCTTCGATGTGATTCAGCAGGCATCCCTGGAGGACATGGTCACAGGGAACCAAGCTGCCAACATCCCAGCCAGCTATGATGAAACTGCCCTCTGCTCCAACACTTTCAGGTGTGGCTTGAGAAACAGCAGGAAGTAGAGAGGTGGTCTCCACCCTGGCAAGTCCCCTCAGGGTTCTACTTCACTCCCTCCTGGCTTTAGCCTTTCCCCAGCAGTAGGGCTTGTAGGGTGGTCTAAGTATAAATCCAGGCCTCCAGTGCATGGCAGGCATCTTCTCCAACACTTTGGAAGATTCTCAGAGCTGCCTGGTGCCTCAGCCAGCAGATGCATGGGGATGTTGCTTTCTCCTTAGTTCATGCTCCGCCAGGTTATAGAGGCATATATGTGCTGAGGGCTGAAGAAGGGAGTTCCTGTTCTAAATCCTCTAGTGTGTCTGTAACATGTCCCTGTCAGGAAGGGGGAAGTGTTGCTGGTCGCTGGTGGGTGATGCCAGTCTCTACTCGTTGGCAGGATTTTGAAGAGCATGGTGGTGAGCTGGGTGAAGGAGATTACGCAGTACCACAATGTCTATGCAGACAACCAGGTCATTCACTTTTACCGCTGGCTCCGCTCTCCTTCCTCCCTGCTTTATGACCCAGCACTGCACCGCACGCTCCACAACATGATGAAGAAGCTTTTCCTACAGTAAGTGAGGTCAAGTGTGCCAGTCTGGTGGATGGGGAATGGAGAGGCGTGATGTTAGTGACCAGGATCAACCACAGTGATCCTCCAGAAAGGTGGGCAGTAGGAGGGACCTCTCATCCTCTTTGGGTGACTTCCCTTGCCCAGTGTTGCTGCATGTTGACTCTAGGCTGAGGAATCAACACGTGCTCTTTGAGTCACATATGCCCTTCATGCATTGCTTTCCTGCCCACTGATGCCACCCTGTGCCCTGTTGCAGGCTAGTGGCTGAGTTCAAGCGCCTGGGCTCTTCTGTGGTCTACGCCAACTTCAACCGCATCATCCTGTGCACCAAGAAGCGGCACATTGAGGATGCCATCAGCTACATGGAGTATATCATCAACAGGTGAGGTGCACCTGGAGGTGGGGCTGGGGCAGGGCTCAAGACCAGGGAGAAGGATGCTGATTTTTTGTCTTCTAATGCACCTCAAAACTGAATTTATTTTTTTGGCAAAGCTACGGAAGGGACAAGGCCTCCCAGTTCTCTTGCTGTCATGCCTGGAGTAGTGATCTGTCCCTAGCTGCCCTCTATGGGCAGTATTCCAAGTATACTCATAGGATTCAATCCTGAAGAGACTTCAAGGAGAGCCCGAGATGCCCAGCAACTTGTCCCCTGGCTGGCTGTCCACATCCCAGCTGTGGTATAGGCACCTTGATACAAGAACAAAGAGCCAAGCGTCCTTGGGCATGGCTTCCCCTGGGATCCCTAGCTGGGGCCCAGTGGAAAAGGGGACACTCCTCTCTCCTGGTCAGCACCACATCCCCACAGTGTCCCATGGAGTAGAGATGGTGCTGACACAGGAACTGACTGCAGTTTCCTCCCTCCAGCATCCACTCCAAGGAGATCTTCCACTCTCTGACCATCTCATTCTCCCGGTGCTGGGAGTTTCTGCTCTGGATGGACCCAGCAAATTATGGAGGTATCAAGGGAAAAGTGGATTCTCGCATCCACTATGGGGAGGTAAGAGATGGGAAGCACCCTGTCCCTTGGGAGCAGAGTAGGGAGGTGTTGGCTGGGCATGAGAGACTGCTATGCATGTGACCCCCAGAAGGACACCAGGAAGACATTGGAGGAGGAGGAGGAGAGTGAGGAAGAGGAGGAGGAGGTAGCGAGGGAAGAAGAGGAGGAGAAAGGGGAGCCAGATGTGGAGGAGCTGCTGGAAAATAACTGGAACATTGCACAGTTCCTGCCCCAGGCCGGCTCCTGCCAGAGCTACTTCTTGATGATCATATCAGGTGAGCAGCATGGGGAGATGATGAGGTCATTGTGCCCCTCCAGTGCCAATTCTGGATAGGAGCTGGAGCCTTGCCTATGTCTTCCCAGCCTACATCGTGGCTGTGTACCACAGCATGAAGGAAGAACTGCGGCGTAACATCCCTGGGAGCACCCCCATCAAGAGGAGGAGCACCAGCCAGGTGTCCCAGGAGGCTTTGGGGGAGCTGAGGGCCATGCCTGGTGAGTGCCAAGCCCCAGGACGGCCCTGCTGCAGGTAGAGACACCCACCTTGCTTGCCCTATGTACCACCAATCAGTTCAAACACTCTCTGCTTTACCCCTCTAGGCATGATCACCTTCTCTCAAGATTACGTGGCCAATGAGCTCACCCAAAGCTTCTTCACCATCACCCTGAAGATCCAGAAGAAGATGGCTGGTTCCCAAAATGCCACAGAACCCTCAGACATGTTCCCAGTCCTGCCTGGCTCCTACCTGCCACTCAACAACCCAGCTCTGGAGTTCATCAAATATGTCTGCAAGGTCAGCAGGGGTGGGCCAGGCTTCTTGGCTGAAGGATTGGGGTCTGACCTGACATTCTGGTCCTTGTCCATTGCTGCAGCTTCTCCCAGGATGGATCTTTTTACTGGTCCTGAATCTATATGAGGGTCACAAGGATCTGAGCTGTCCTTAGAACAGTGTCTGCTGCTAGGCTCATCTGGCTTTTATCCTTGCAGGTCCTCTCCCTGGATGCCAACATAACCAACCAGGTGAACAAACTACGCCGGGACCTGCTGCGCCTCATCGAGGTGGGCGAGTTCTCAGAAGCAGCCCAGTTTCGGGACCCTTGCCGCTCCTATGTGCTTCCTGAAGTCATCTGCAGGAACTGCAACTTCTGCAGGGATTTGGACCTGTGCAAGGACCCTGCCCCTTCCCAGGTGCAGCTTCTCTCCTAGGGACAAAAGAGGCCCCAGTACAGCAATGCTGGAGGCCAGCCGATCATCTTACCCACTTTATCTCCCCCTTGTTTGGCAGCTTTGCCTGCTGTCCATGATCATCCTCTCCTAAAGCAAATTTTCTGTTCATCTTTTCTAGCTGCATGTGATGAATCTGAACATGCTTGGGCTTTGGCTTATGTTCTGTCCTCTCCAGAAACAAGTTCCACCATCCCAGTGCATGGGACTTGTGGTTGCTTACGCCCCTCTTTTTGCCCCTAGGACAGGCTGGTGGTGCCCAGCTGGCTCTGCCCCAGCTGCCATGTGCAGTATGATACTGATGCCATCGAGATGGCGCTGGTGGAAGCCCTGCAGAAGAAACTGATGGCCTTTGTGCTGCAGGACCTGGTAAGCACAGGGATCCCCCACTCTGCCCACTTCACTGGTTGTCTGTGCCTGGACACATTCACTTTGCCACTGGCAGAGAAGCTTGGCCTCATCTCTTGACCCACCTGAACCTCCTTGGCCTCCAGGTGTGCAGAAAGTGTCACGGTGTGAAGGAGACACACATGCCTGTGTACTGCAGCTGTGCTGGAGACTTCACCCTCACCATCTCCTCCCAGGTACTTCAACACCTGCCCAGCCCAGCCGAGCCCAGCAGCTCAGTGAGGGGCCCTAAGGTGCCCTGTGCCTCCTCTGCCTCTGCTCTAACTGCACATCCTGCAGCACCTGCTGAGCTGCTCTCTGGCCAGCCCTGCCCAGCCACTCCACCAGAGCCCTCAGAGCCCCTGGCTGCCCAGGATGCTGGGTAGCCTCCTTTCCACCCTGTTCTTCTCTTCCCAGGTCTTCATGGACCATGTCAGTGTCTTCCAGAACATTGCCCGGCACTATGGCATGGCCTACTTGCTGGAAACCATTGAGTGGCTGCTGCACACCAACCTCCAGCTCCAGCAATGAGGGCTGGGCTGCTCTTCTTGCCTACTCCATGCTCTCACATCCATGGAGAGTAGTACTGGACCCCCTTGGCCATGGGCCAGACCACAAAGACACTGCACACCCCTCCTGCAGGGAGGAAAGAGGAGGAGAGCCATGCTTGGCACTGGGTTGTCTTTGCCCAGAGCTGCCTGGTGGGGGATTTGGGAGTTTCCAGTGGCTAGAACTGGGTTCCACAGGTCTGTGCTGGCCCCAGGTGTAGTTTTAATTTTCAATTTCTGTAAATAAATGCGTGGTAGAAGGCAGGTGTCATTTTTAGGGAGGGAGGAATCAGGGGCTGTGGGTGCCAGTGGCTGTGGCACCACCCGTAGCCTGGGTCATACTGGTGGCTGTGGTACCAGTGGCTTACCCCATCCTCAGCCCAGCCCTTGCCAGCATGAGGCAGGCAGTGCCCACAGGTGCTGCCCACACCTGCCAGCAGGTCCTGCCTGTGGGCAGCTGGCTGCGCTGGGGTGACTTCCCTGTGCCAATGCGCTTGGGCATGCTTGGCCCGGGCACTTGTCAGCTCTCATTAAGGTATTAATGGGTCTGTCTGGTGAGGTGGGGGACCTGAGAGCCTATACACATCCCTGCAGGACCAGCAGCCCATGGCTGGAGGCTGTACATCCCTGCCATGGCAGTGCAGGGCTGGAGGATGGAGACACAGCCACCAGCTCTGAGCCCATGTCCCTCCATTTCACTGCAGTGAGTGGCCCCAGGCAAGGTTTACTGACAGCCTGTACAGTAAAGGCAGGGCAACCCTGATGATGGGGAGAAAGTGATGCATCTGACTCTACTGATATCAGAAGGCTAATTAATTACTTTATTATACTATATTATTCTATATTACATTATTCTAAACTGAATCTGCACAAAGCACTCAACTGCCCAGAATGTTGTGACTGTCAGCTGACAGTCTGACACACACACGGATTCAATGGATCAGTGAATCAAAACACTCACCCCAGAATCTAATTACCAGTTCTCTTCAAGTGAACTACCTTCCACAATGCATTCCACTTGTGAACAACAAGAGGCGCAGCAATTGAGGTAAGATTTGTTTTTTCTCTCTCTGAGGTTCAGAGAATGTGAATCCCAGAAAATATCCTTGGGAAGTTGTGCCTTGCTTTTCTCTGTGAAGAGAAATGCGGCTACAAGCTTGGGGCTGGCAGTGGTGGCAGGTGGGCTGTAGGACATGTCTCATTCTTCCATGTGTGCTGCTCCTCATGGAGGCAGCAGGTCCCTCAGAACTGGGAGCTACTGATGGTTTCAGGCAGAGCGTGCATTATCCACCCTTCCACCGTGACCTTTCTGCTCTGGTGGTGCCTGCAATGGCATGGCATGGCATGAGGCTGGAGCAGCCCCAGAGTCATTCCCCCACTGAGGAACCATCTAAGGAGGAGACCAATGGGCATTGTGGTGGTGGGACAGGGCCATCACCTGTAGTTGTAGTCAGGGAAGCCAAAGTGCTTTCAGGGTGGACACAGTGAGAGGGAGAGCGTGGGCTGCATTGGGTGGTCAGACAGGTCCAGTTTGCACTTATGGCTGATGATCACACTGACCCCACACAGCAGCAGAGACCATTAGCCCTCACATGCTATGGGCACAGCATCCCAAGGGGCATGAGCTCACCACAGCCATGGCATCTCAATGGGCACAGGCCCACTGCAGCCATGGGATCCTTGTGGGCATGACACCAGGAGCTTTTGGGCATCTCAATACAAGAAGATATAAATCTCTTAGAGAGCATCCAATGAGGGCTGTGAGGATGGTGGAGTGTCTAGATGTGAAGTCATACTTCACAGCTGAGGGCACTTGGTTTATTCAGACCTCACCAGGGGGGCTGCAGCTCCTCTTGAGAGGCAGGCACTGATCTCTGCTCTGTGAGCGGGGATAGAGCTCCAGAAGTGTTTGGACAACAAACACACACAGGGTGGGATTGTTGGGCTGTCTGGGCAAGGCCAGAAGTAGGACTTCATGAATCTTGCGAGTTCTTTCCAACTCAGGATATTCCATGCTTCTATGAAAAGAGGTGACCGGGTGCCGAGGAATAGCTCTGGAGTCCTTGGACGATCCCAAAAAGGGGGAAGAGCTTTGGGCTGGGCAGACCTGGAGCAGCACTGTGGTTGCACTGGGGTCGATTCTCACTCCTGATGCGAGGCAGGCAGGGGGATGCTTTGCAGGACGCTCTGCTCCTCTGTCCCCTCCCGTCATCCGGCTCACACTGGAGGCCGTCCCGGGATGACACCACCGTGCTCCTGCTGCGCCTGATGTCCGCATCCCCCGCAGTCACTCACTCCTCTGGCCCCGGGGGCCCTCGGCGGGGCAGGGGGGGAGGGGCCTGAGCGGAGCGGGGCCTGCAGGAGCCGCCCCGCCCGCAGGGGGCGCTGCACGACCGGCTGGAGCCGAGCGGTCCGGCCGGGTTCGGCTGGGCTGCGCTGGGCCAGGCTGGGCTGGGCCGGGCCGGGCTGGCCAGAATTCGAATAGATTTTTGCTTCTACTTATTAAAGCCCTGATGTCCTGTGTACTGTAGGGAAGCAACTGGAGATGTTTTATCTCTTCTGGAGGGAACTATCCTGGATGACCCCAAGACTCCTCCCAGTCACCTCCTGGCGCTTTTGGATCTGTGATTTCGAGACCTGATATCCCGGGTAGCAGACTCAGACTATTCCAGGGAAGCTGCCTGAGATGTTTTGCTCTTTGGTAGAAGCTGTCTGTTTGAAGATCCACTTGAGACTCCTCCCAAGCATCTCACAGAGTCTTTTCACTAATTACCGATAAATCCTGACATCCTGAGTAGTAGTCCAAGACTCCTACAAGTAAATAACCTGAGATGATTTTTCTCTTTTTGAACAAAAGTGTATCTGCTGGAATCTCCCTGCAGCTTCTCCCAGGCATCTCCCAATCTTTTCATCTCTACTGTAGGCATTTGATATCCCAGGCACCAGCCCCAGACTCCTCCAGGGAATCCGCCCAAGATGATTTTTCTCTTTGTGGAAATTGCATCTTCTAGGTTCCACATTAGGCACCTGCCATGCATCTTCTGGAGCCTTTCTTTTATTTCAGTGCCTGAAATCCTGTGAAAAACGCCAATCACTTATTAAAAATTTTTAAAAGTTTAATAGTAATAAAATGGCTATAAAATAGTAATACAAATTAGAACAATAAGAATTTGGAATCAGAGCTAGTACAATAAAGGACAATAAAAGCAAAGAACACAAAAGTTCAGATGCTTTCCTTAAAAAAAGCATTGCTAACAAAGGAATAACTCTTAAAAGTAATAGCCTTTTGCATATTCATATATCTCATACATGATGCAGAAATTCTTTTCAAACAAAGGGTGTTCTTGGTTATTGTCAAGTTCTCCTTAATCCTGTTGGCACCTCAAAGATGAAAACGAGGTGGAAGAAAGTTTGTCTTTTCCAATAACAAGGCAATATTTCTTTTCTTAGAGCTTGTTGCTGTTATCTCTGTGCAAAGAATTTCTTGATTATCTCATCTTTCTTGAGCTAGTTAAAGAGTATCTTACATAGCATAGTTTCTGTTTTAACATGTTATAACGTAAAACTGTATTTAACACACTACATAAAAGAATTAGTACAGCATAACTTTCTAACATAACACATATAATATTCATTTTAATATTTGCAGAAAGCCAAGCATTTTTCACAATCCCAAATAGCAGCCCCAGATTTCTCCAGGGAAGGGATCCAAGACGATTCTTTTCTGTTCATGGGACCTACATCCTCAAGGACCCACCCCAGACTCCTCCCAGGCATCTCCTGAAGGCTTTACACAGCTGCTTTAGTCTCCTCAGAACCCAGGAGCAGCTCAAGGCTCCTCCAAGAAAAGCAACCTGGGATCCACCTGAGATTCCTCCCACTCCTTACAGTGCCCTGTGGTCATGGGTAGCAGCCCGACTCCTCCCAGGGAGACCTCCAAGATGATCTTTCTCTTCTGGAGGACTCTGCATCAGACAGATGCAAAATACAGCACCATGGATCATTGCAGCACTGTGGATTGTGCACAGGCCTCTGGTCAAAGGCCCCAGAAATTAGTCTGGGAGCACTTCAAGGATCTTGGATAGTTTATGACTTCTTCTAAGACACAAAAGCCTCTTCTCCCATCAGAAGGGATGAACACTCTCAGGCTGTGGTGTGAATGTCCTGCTATTTTTCCAGGGCTGGGGGGTTTTACTGGATAAAAAGCAGTATCCCACCTCCCTTCCCTGGCTCAAATCCCATCTTGCACCCCTCTCCCCCTGGGCTGTTCCCTTGTCAGCAAAGTGCTCACGAGGATCTCTCTGCTCCACAGCCTTCCCAGCCACCAGAGGAAGGAGTTCACTAGATCCCCCTTTTCATCCTTTTTGTAGAAGGATGAAAATGGGATTCAGACGTCACATTTGCCAGCCCCCTAGTAAGCCAGGACTGCTGATAGATGATAAAAAAGACCACTTACTTAAAGGACAAGATGCTTTCTTAAAGTTAAAAGAATACCTGTGCCAGTTAAAATATATCTTTCTTTAGATTTAATTAAATAATTTTACTTTATCCCCTAAAATTATTTTCCACAATGGATGCACAACTTGCAAGTGTTGCCCATAATTCTGTAAAGGCATTTTCCAGACTGAGAAATCCAAATATCTGGTGTGCATGCTGTGGCTTCAGCCAGCACAGTCCTCCTCTTCTGCTGCCCTCACAATGACACCATCACACAGCCACTACCTGCAGGTCACTCTTAATGATTCATCAGTCACTTTTCCTTTTTCCTACCTGTCTCATTGCGGCCAGATTTCCTCTGCTGATTCTTATCTGTAATTCAACTCGTCTGCCTGTCCATTCTCCCATGTTCACGTATCCCCATTTTTGTTTGTATCTCTCGATTGCACGTCCATCTGTGTCAGGCTGATTTACAGGTACTTTAGGGTTGGATGAAAACATTGAATTTTGGTGGCTTTTTTAAACATGGCATAGCTTTTGGTACTTTTTGATTTCTCCTGATGCTGCGTCATGGTTTAGAAATGGTATTCTCCAAGGCAGTACTCCCACTAAAACCATGTGCCCCTCCCCTCTCCAACTGGAGGTACAAAAGGTAAAGATACCAGGTTGAGCAAAAAACAAGTCACTGGAAACAGCAAGGAGATAAGAAAATGAACTATAGCAGCAACACTGCTAATAACGAAAGGTATAAGAAATTAAATTATTAGTGGGAAAAATTCCCCACTAATAGATACAACAGATGTTTTCTCAACTGGAAGCAAGC